CTATGGAACAATATTGTGCCAAGGCAATTAACTCATCCCTTGGGTCTTATGAATTATTGTATTGTCTAAATCATAGCAGCCTTTTCTCTGTAACAGCACATCGCTGGAACTCCCAACCAGATTTCCCAATTAAGAGCAAGTGGTTATTAATTTATTATGCCTGTTAGAAGAGTGCTACAAAAAGCATATCTGGATCCTTTAGAAGTCAGCTTAATCTGATATAATTTAATTTACTTCAAACAAAAGTTGTAACCAACCCTCTTAAAAATATCATTCGGGGGCTATAATTTGGAGATATTACACTGTATTTCCCACTAAGTCATTTTGAAGCCATCTTGATAGTTCCAACAATCCTACATCTTTGTTTTGTAACCTCCCAGTGGCTTGATGGACACCACCTTATAAAGGCAGAGAGAGATAAGAACCAACACTGTAGAGTAGGAGGTCCTGGGCAGAGCATTCTTGCCTAATATAGTCTAATCTCTGCAGCTATAATCATTTCATGGCTGTCGATGGAAAACAGATGCAATTGCCAAATGACCGTAATTCTGAATTATGATCAGAACTGCAGTACACACTGAATAAAGAACTGCACATTCTAATTAAAACGCTTAAAGTAAACTTAAACCAGTTTCAAATAACTATCGAATAAATCCTATATTAAACAAACAAGGAAAAATTAGTAATCTCTTTCTTTATGGACTTTAACTTGAAACAGGATGCTCACCACATCTGACTGCTTTTCAAGAACAATTTTGAATATTAAAGCTTTTTAAAAAGTTGCTGAAGCAATTAATACTTCAGCTAGGCTAGAAAAGCTCACTTTGGGGGGGAAAAAAGTTAAAAAACAGTTCCCTTCTAACAACACACTTACCTTCCACAGGCAATTTGTGCGACAATGTTTCCCATAAGTTCGAAAACTTTTCTGGGATTTATCTCATGCGCAGTAGAGTTATGACCTAACTGTCCATAGCCTCCAGCTCCAAAGGTAAACACTCCACCTTCCTAAAAAATATTTCAAATTGGAATGTAATCTGTCAATGTCTTCACTATTTTTTATATATACAAATACCTGCCCAAGATGTATAAAGGAACAATAAAATTGCCTATTCTAAGCCATTGAGGCATATAATATAAATTTAAAACGAATAAAATGGTTGCATTGCTTTAAACCAGGGCTGTCAAACTCCCGGACCATGAATCGGATGTGTCACACACTGGCCACGCCCAGTTTAGCAAAGGGCAGGGGGGAGAGTCCTGATATGTCACGTGACACCGCTATGACGACATGAGTGTGACACCCCTGCTTTAAACTTTAAAGATTCTGAGTAATTTGCAAATCAAACACTTCTGAACAAATATAAATCAAAGGTGTGAACTGCAAAAATGCAGTTTAGGCAGAGTTCTTCACTATCAATTCCCAACATAGAGACTGGATTGTCCCCAAAGCTAATTGTATAGGTAGTCCTTGCTTAATGACCCTAATTGTAACTCCACCAGTAAGCTGTCACCAAGTAGGAAATCATGTGATCAAGGCTGTGCTTTCCAGCTTGAAAGAGATGACTATTGTATTCAATTTTACACCTTCTGCATTTGTTTGCCTAATAATTACTCCTCTACTCTTTGGAATTCTGAAGTGCCCACTTACTGTCTTGTACACATCAAAAGCAATGTGATTGTACTGCAGCCCTGGAGATGGGAGACATAAGCACACAATGCAAACAGCTTGCTCTCTTGGAATTTCTTTGTCTTCAATCTCTCTGCTCTGCAAAGGGGTTGGGAGGAGCAAATGATTTCTCTAGTCAAGCTCTTCTTTGCTTGGTCCTTTCCCACTGCCAGTGTGTTCACACCACTTTCAATGTGTAGGAGAACAATCAGCTTATTCTTTTGAAATCTCTTCCCCTCCAATTTCTCTACTGGGTGGGACAGGCCAAGGAGAGATTGTCTACAAAAATTGCCTTCTTCCTCCTGAAGGCCAAATATGGCTCTTTTTAGGCTCGTGCCTCGACGTGTATATTTTCCAATGAGACAAACTGAGACAGGAAGATCATTTTATTACAATTTATCAGAATATTCAGACAAAAGGGACCCAACCTTAAAGCAGAGAGATTGGAGAGAAAAAGATTGCAAGATGATAAGCTATTTGCCTTTTTACACATCAAGAGCAGTGTGATCATGCCAGCAGTCCAGGCCTGAAGTTGCAAGTGCACTATACTAATAGCTTACACACTAGTCTTTTGAAATCTTTTCCTCTCCAATCTCTCTGCTCTGAATGGGGTAGGAGAGAGAAAAAGGAAGCAATTTATGTATGCAGTCTCTTCTTTGGCTGCCCCTTTCCTGCTGCCTATGCAATTGACTCCTTCTCAATTTATAGAAGTGCAAATTGCTTACTCTCTGGAAATCCCTCTCTATACTCTTTGCTCTGCAAGGGGGGAGGGGGGAATAGTCAGGCAAAGGAAAAGATTGCCTACAGAAACCACTTGCTTTCTCTCTCTCTCTCCCAGATTCCTATGCAGAGTGGAGGGACTGAGAGGAGATTTCAAGAGGGTGCTATAAGCTGTTTGCATTGGATACCTGTGGTTCCCAGTCTGCTGCTGGTGCAATTGCATTGTTTTCAATGTGCAAAAGAGCTAACAGCGTACTCTCTTGCAAATCCTCTCCCCAATCTTTGCTTTGCAAAGGGAGGCAAAGAAAAAAGAAAAAAATAGGTCAAGAAAAGAACACCACATACTGATTGTAATGGCAATCACGTGACTGGGGGACATTGCAAAGATCATAAATGTAGTTATTTTTTAGATCTGCCATGATTTTCAACACACTAAACAAATGGTCAGTAAGTGTGGACTATCTGTAGATCAAATTCTGCTTTGCAGCAAGTGAAACTAATAATAAACAGTCAAGCTAGATTTTAAATCATACCTTGGAAAGATTCTGACACACACACACACACACACACACACACACACACACAGAGGGTTCAAAAAGAGTAATACAAGTTTTGTATATGAATTGACCCTATGATCAGGGCAGATATGTGGAGAAAGGAGAGAAAGAAGGGGTGCCCATGACTCTATCCTCTCCCCTGGCTATGGAATTAGAAAATGCAGAACAACTCTGGGGGCACAGTGCCTTAAATATAGTTCCCATGGTAATTAAAAGGTTACCATTTTCTAACATCAGAGTACCAGGAATAGGCTTAATAGATTTCACAGGCAGACATGGTATTTCTGGCTAAGTTATTGATGCAACCCAATTGTATGGGATAAGGCCACCAAGAACTATTAAGTCTTTTACATCACATCTCAATTCAAATCTGAAATCAAAGACAGATTGAATATACCTTTGTAAGAGCTGCAGTATGATCTTCTCCACAGGAGATATAAACAATTTTTTGGGATCTTAGTGACTTCAGAAGATTGGGGACGTATCTATCTAAAAATTGCAATAATTTGGTAAATTATAAATTGTGGCAAATTACACACGCACACAAATACAAGAAACAATCTCATTTGACAAATCACTGCCTCCGATAGGAAGTTTGAAACAACTTAAAAGTTCAAACAACATTGCAGGGCATCAGGAAGCAACATTTCAAAATGATATTTAACACAATTCATCCATTGTTTTGAAAGTGCTATTGTTCTAACAATTAAGGAATGCAAACCATTGCCGAGTCATGTAGTTAAATAAGAGTCACAACCAATTTCAGCAAGGTTTTGTAATTCAGAGAGCTCCAGCCTATAACATAAACAATTTGAGCATTGAGCAAATGGAACATTTTTATCATAAAAGTTCATTTGAAAATCTGCATTTTAGAACTTACCATTTTCATCATTAAGACCAAGCTGTCCAAATTTGTTCCGGCCCCATCCAAAGACTGCTCCAGAAAGAGTAAGTACAAAGCTATGGGCACCGCCAGCTGTTATTTGGGCAAAAGGGATGCCTAATAAAGATTTGATTACTTGTGGAGATGTTTGTTTTTTATATTCATAACCTAATCCTAATTGTCCATACTTGTTCTGACCCCAGGAAAAAACTTCACTTCCTGTTGAAAAGAAACAAAGATAAATAGTGGTTAAAAATCACTGTAAGAATCAAATTAAAGAATCAAATTATTTCTTTCAGGGCAAAATTCAAACAAAACAGAGAGGATTCAGTAGAAAGAGAAGCCCATTCAAAATTATATTAAAAAGAAAAATGAAATCAAAACAGATTGGGCCACTTCCACAAGGCCCTTCTCAAAGAGATCATATTCAAAGAACTTATTTTTAAATCTGGAGTATGGAATATTGCACTGGCCAATAAAATGTGGACTGGAAGTGATACTTTAGGGGAAAAAAGAGGCATGGAAGACAGTAAGTGCAGTTGAGCATAGTAAATAAATACTCTTTAATATATTTCTTTTCTCTAACCCAGTATTTCTCAGCCCCAACAACTTTAAGCTGTATGGACTCCAACTCCCAGTATTCCCATTAAAGTTCAAGTTGCTGAGGTCGAGAAGCCCTTTCCTAACAAATGATCAGATCTTACTATACAAAAAAACTTTTCTAAGATCTTAGTGGCTGTGAAAGTATTTTGAAATTAAACAGACAGATATAAATGCAGCTAAGAGCAGGGTTTACCTTTAGAAAGTGCAAGGGAATGGCAGTAGCCACAGGCCACTTGTACAATTTGAATGTCTGATAAGCTTTTAATATTCCTTTGAGAAAATAAGAAAATATTAAATGAATATCATTTAAAAAATACAGAAAAGTTAAAAATATTTTAAGAAAAATTTAAAAGTATATATTAAATACTTAAAAAGAGCAACCACAGAACATGATTTCTCAATAGATAAATAAGAGGTATGACAAATTTCCAGTTCTGAAGCTACTGTAAATTCCTATTCCTACAATACCCCAATTTAAACAGCCAAAGTTTGTTCAGGCTAGAGAAGAAACTAGAGCAGGGGTGTCAAACTCAATTTCATTGAGGGCCACATCAGGATTATGTTTGAGCTCAGAGGGCCGGGGGTGGGGGGTTAGGGCGTGGCTGGAGGGGTGGATGGAGCCATGGTGGGCATTTGACACAGGCTCAAGAGACAATTTTTCCCCTTTACATTCAAAACAGCCAGACAAAGGGAGACTTACTTTCTGGGACAAATAGTCTCAATTCCATAATGTAGAGATTAAAGACATGTAGAGTCCTCAGGTGCTTATGGGCCTTGACTCTTTTGTATAGAAGCAGAGCATAAATGAACTGACAATTTCTCCAGTTGTCTCTAAAAACTGACTGTCCAAAAGTCTATCAATCTTTGTTAGTACCTCTGACACAGCCCTAGATGAAGACTTAATATTAGTAATAATTTACAAAATTGATATACCACCCAATTCTCAATGACCCTCACAATAAGCATAAAATTTACAATTAAATCAATCACAGGTAAGAAATTAATACAAAAGATGGCAAACTCATACGAGGGGGCTTACTCTAATCAAAGACCTAGCTGAAGAGCCAGATGTTTTTGGCTCTTCTGAACAGCCATTTAGATCTTGAAGAGTACCTAGTTGTAGTTGGTAGATGCTGCTAAAGAGAAGGTGAAGAAGGTGCTACCTCCTGTAACACTCTACCAGCCAAAATGGGGCGGGTTTTTGGCTGGCAGAGTGCTATAGGAGCCCATGGAGGCCAAAAACAGGCTTTATGCAGGGGCTCCGGGGCCCGTTTTGGATGACAGAAGCACTACAGGGCAATCTTTTGATATTTCCAGGCTGGCTTGGCGGGCCAGATCTAAACACCCTGCAGGCTGGACGCGGCCCATGGGCCTTGAGTTTGACACCCTTGAACTAGAATATGAAAACACACTTTAACCATTTTATTTTAAATAACTAGAATTTAAAAAAATCCCATCAGAGTACATTTGGACAGAGCATGAAATTTAAAATCTAAAGTGAAGGCTGATCCCTTTCTATTAAATGTAAAAGAACAGGGAGGGAAAGGTTCTAAATCTAAATACAGAACTTAAAATTTACCACACTCGTACATATCTATATGGCTAAAACCAGTTTAAATATGGAAGAAAACACTTTATTTTTAGATTAAAGTAGTACTACTCTTATAGCTTTTCAAACTGTCGATTAAGATCAAATGTAAGCAAATATTCACATCATCCAAAATATTTTGCTTCATGCAGTACAAATTAGTACATTTAAATCACACTGGCCTTCCCTATTTTTGCAGCCCCAGCATAGCTTTGTAGTTCAGTTATATGTGAAGTTTTGAACCTGCTCCAAGTTTAACACACAGGACATAATGCAGCGATGCTATTAAAATAAGGCACCCTAAAACTCTATTAACTACTAGAAATTACCTATTATTCTAGAAAGCAGTTACCAACTGCAATACAAAAATCTTTGTGCTCTGGATACTGGATACCATCCAACCTTTTATGTTCCTGCAGGTCCAAACTGTAAATCCTCATACTATTTTTTAATTGACCCTAATTCTTAGAAGGAGGGGGAACTTTTGAGAAGAAAGCATGATGGATATTAACGCAAATACATATAATTTTTCTAATCATGCAGCTCTTACGTTGGGGCTTCAAATTATTCAATTAAAAATAATTTTTGATACCAATAAGGGCCTATAAATATTTTTAAATAAATGAAATGTTAAGTTCCATAGCATATCTACTATATTCAGAATTAAAATGCCGCATGAGCGTTAAGGCTATGTGTTGAAAAATATGCTACTTATACAGTTTAAGGATGGCACTTTAATAAATCAAAATAAATTTCCAAATGTTCTACAAAATCATTAAAACTGCAAAAATACCCACTTGCTTTTTTTTGCAACTGCTAAAATGAAATTGACTTCATAATATTATCCCATTCTCATCCTTAAAAGTGCATCTACCAATAATGAAAACAAGCCAGTTTTAGCAAAAGTATAGTATTTCTTGGATGTGACTTATAGAAACCTCCCAAAAGCCATGGATAAATCTGAATGTGACCAAGGAGGGAAATCTTTAAATCAACATTTAAATCAACATTATCAGCATTTTATTTCATTTTAATTAAATCAAATATACATTGCATTTTGGCTCTGTCCACATACATGAATGAATTATCATGCTACTTAATTTACATTAAATTCCCAATTAGAATCTCATAAAGAATACCAGTATTATAAATATCGTATTTACTTATTACAAAAAGTTGTATGCTGTGTACCCTTGAATATATAGCTAAGGAAAAACTGAACCGGAAATGTTCAGGAAATTCTAGTGGTTGCTTCAATACAGTACAGCGGCTTTCAAGAGTATATTGATGCAAATTATTTTATAGAAAACTGAATATGAAAAATTCTAAATGTATATAAAGTTAAATATAAAGGCTTCCCTTGTCCAGTCATTTCCAACTCCAGGGGGCATGCTAACTCCGTTTCTTAAGGGAGGGAGAGAGCATGGTCTGAAGACACATGGTCATTTATCTCCTCACGTATACCATGCTTTTGAACTGCTAAGTGCGCAGGATCTGGGGCAAGTAATAAGTAATGAGTTCCCTCCCGTCACAGGGCACTCTGGTCTTGAAGCTCTGTGTCTTTAACTGCTGAGCCACCATGCCCCAAATGTACATAGATGAAGCAATTAAAATAATCCAAAAGCAAGCATTTTCCTAATGAATTTTTGGAACATTGTTTGATTATTTTGTTTTACCTGGGAACTCTGATATATTCCTCAGTGCCAGATAAGCCCAGCTGCCCTTCCGCAGCAAAACCCCAGGCATAGACTTGACCCTTGTCATTTAATGCTAACGTGTGGGCTTCTCCACAAGAAACAGTGACAATGTTTTGAGCATCCAAGGCGCCAACTTGCTCTGTAATTACACAAAAAAGTGGCTTTTATTAAGCAGCAGAAATAGCAAAAAAATGTGTGTTTACAAACAAATCTAGTCAATTTTATACTACCGTATTTTTCGGGCCTGTATTTTTCAAAAAAAAGAGGCATGTATAGCCTTTAGGGAGCTTGCAGAGTGCTCCTTGGGGATGCCCCCCCCCAATGAGCAAAACACAGCCCGTTTTTCACAAAAACGGGTCCGTTTTTCGTCAAATAAAAATGCATAGAAGGCTTATAGCTCCTTGGGGCTGGGGTGGGGCAAAATTGAGCAAAAACCGGCCCCTTTTTAACTTATTTCTGCTCTCCCCAGTCCCCAGGAGCTCTCTGAAAGCCTTCTACAGGCTATGCGTGGTCATTTTGGTGAAGGAACGGGGCTTCGAAAGGCAAAACATGTTGTATTCAGTGTATAAGACATACCCAGATTTTCAGCCTCTTTAGGGGAAAATGGTGTGTCTTACACTCCAAAAAATACAGTATTTCTGGCCTAAGACATCACAGTCTGAGAACTCTAAGTCTACTTATTGATAATTGCACCCAGCAAGGTCTGAATTTTTATCCCCAAGGAACAAGTTTCAGAACCCTAAATATTTTCACTCATTCTAGAAACAGCAATTTGGATTAATTAGGGGAGCACTGAAGCTATTACTAATTTTAAAAAGACATCCTAAACACGGATCTTCTTGAATTTATCTAGTGTCCTGTTTCAGTCCACAAGCATGATACACACAAAGGTGTTAAAAAGCTTTACTGAAAGTTCAAGCTCCTAATATGAATCCCCAAGACCCACTTGGATCCACTATAAAGTCCTAGGAAGTCCAACACTGCTCTATCAAGGTAAAAAGCCACCAAATCCAAGGGCAAAGGCAAATTCAAAATCCAGAGTCCACAGTCCACAGTCCACAGTCCAGTTTGAAATCCAAGGCAGAGATGCAAAATCCACAAACAAATCAAGGGCCAAACACACGGTCAATCATAACACAACCCAGATTTGAGAAAACCAACAGCATGAGTGTGAAGCATGCACGCAGCAAGTGATGGCCAGTTGTTTCCATCCATTCATCCAATTAAAGAGGTGCTTGCTTGTGTAGCTCATCAAGAGAGATGAGGCTGCTGCCTCTCAAGTAGTCTTGCCAACCTCCATTCTGCCTCCTTCTCTTAGCCCTATGCATCTGTAAAACAGGTGGAGGCAATTCCTCCTCATCCTCGCTGGCCAGCTGCACCTGCACCCCCTCCTTTTCCTTCTTTAGCCAACCATTCATCCGGTCGCTCCTCCAGCAACCTCTCTGATGTGCCTGGCCCCTCCACTCCTGGTTGGAGCCCTCAGCACTCTTCCACAACCTCCTCCACATCCCCCTCTGGAGTCCCTAAAGCCAGCTCCCCCTCATCGTCTGAGCTAGCATCTGGGGAAGACATCACTTCTAACTGTATCTGGAACTGATTTTCATACAATTAAAAGCCAAGATCTGAGTTGTTTCTAGAGACTATAATTTCTGAATTTCTGCACTAAAACCTTGGACATAAATAGCTAATATAATCACAAAATGTAACCCTGAATATCACACTACCATTGCCCACATACTCAACTTTATGACCATAGTTGGGACTGGCATCTCAGTTGTTGTGTGACATGGTAATTAAACAAGACACTCGTGTAACTGCTTTGCCCAATGAATGCAATCCCGGCACTCTTAGTTGCGGTTATTAAGCAATCTCTCTGCATGTTAAGCAGATGGAATCCCAGGTAAGAAGCCCAAGTTGTCTAGGGGACGGGGAGGACATGGGAGGGTCCATGGGTGTGTGTGTGTGGAATCCTTCACTGGGCTGCAGGAACAGAGTTCAAATCTTGAAGATTTTAGTTCCATTCCTGTAGCCCAACAAAAGACTTCCTCTCCCATTCCCCGTCACTAGTCTACAGGAGCAGTGTTAAAATCCTGGAGATTTTAGCTCTGGTCCTGCAGTGTCGCAAAGGATTTTCCCTCCCTTTCCCCCCCACTGGGCGGGGGGGGGGGTGTTACCATTCATTGGGCTGCAAAACTGGATGGCATGGCCCTGTCGGACCATAGTCTGGGGAGGACACGATGGAGCTGATGGAAGATGGCACAGCCTCTCTGACCCGAGGAGTGACTGGGGGAGCAGGAAAAGGCAGTCCTGGGTCCCTCAGGCCTTGGAGGGGTGGTCAGCGATGGAGAGAGGGCGCAGGACAACCAAGCGAGAAAGGAGAGGGAAAGAATAGGTAGCAGAACCTATTATGGTAACAAAATTTAGAATCAAAACCGCGCAGGATCCAACCAACATTATTTGTTATCTTACCTGGTCGTTTTCTAGATTTTTCATGGCCTAACTGTCCTAAATCATTACATCCACAAGTATACACAGTCCCATCATCCAATACAAACACAGTATGCCTCAATCCACAGCCGACATCTTGAACTTTTTTGTTCACAAAGAAGCTGCATCTTCTGGGTTCCAGGACAATCTCTTCGTCAATGCCGCCCAATCCAAGTTGTCCAAAAGATGCATTTCCCCAACATAACATGTTGCAAGTCCTTTCAATAGTCTGCCAATTTCAATCTGCAAAAGCGTTCCACCAGCATTACTGTCACAGAAGAAAAGGTTAGACAATAAGGTTAGCATTTATATCAAAGTACACTATTTTCACCCCTCAATTTTACGATTGACCCAAATAAAAGCACTGAGAATTTTTGAATTTATATCTTCAGAATGATAGAAAAACGTGTAACTTTAAATATGATTGTTGTATGTACTGGTATCTAATAGAGATCCAGTTTGGTGTTGTAGTTAAGGTATCTGCCTAGTAAATAGAATGAGAGTTCTAGTCTCACCTTAAGTACAAAGCCAGGTGGGTGTTGTGGCCCGCTGGCAGCCAGCAGAGCTGGTAGCAGATCAGACAATGAGGAGGTTGGGGAGGAACATGGGCCAGTCCTGGGAGCTGAGTAAAGCTCAGACGAGGGCTCTGTGTTGGAGGCAGAGAGGGAGCTAGACAGCAGTGAGGTAGAGGAACAGCTGGAGCCTGTTCCCAGTGTGCCCATGTGCAGAGGCCAGAAGACAAGAACAAGTAAGAAAGCAGGATAGACTTGGGAGTAAAGCCACACCTTGGAGGTGATTGGCCCCTCCCATAAGAAACAAAAGAGGAGCGAACAGGGAGTGGGCTTTTACAGGAAGCAATTCGTTCCTTTGGCCGTTTCAAGAGTGGAAAGTTCTGTTTGTGACTATAAGAGACTCTGTGCCAAGTGTTGCCTTGCCCTGCGTTTGGAAACTAGTTATCTGGCAGCTCGCCAAGCGAGATAAGGTTCGCGTTGATAAATAACCCTCTGAAAGACTGTTTGCCAAGCCTTGCTGACTGTGAATGAAAGGAATTTACAGTCTTGTAAATAAAAGAGGTTTTGTCGGGACCAAGACTCCGCTTCATGCTTGTTAAGGAAGCCTAGGTCAGAACAGTGTGTGCCTTGGGCCAATCACTATAAGGACAGTGGCCAGGAGTCAACAATGACTTAAAGGTCCCCCCCCCCAAAAAAGTATTTAACTATTTCAAATAATTATGTGATTTGAAAATTTTTGCTGTCACAAT